GTACCTCTTGTTGATGGCAACTGCACAGAAGCACTGCATCACTAGCACAGCACCAACCTCGCTAGGTCCACTGGCACCCAAGACGCCTCTTCCCCCACCGCCTGACCTACCGCCAGTGTCTGTGTCTGTCTCTCCTGTCTTGGACTCCACGGTACCTGCTCCTCCCACCTGCCATGTAGGCTCCCATCCCCACCCCCCCCCCCTCCCCTGCCGCTCGACTGGAACCTCCCCTTGTGTGCCGCCCGTTGACAGCCTGAACTCGAGCCTGAGTCTGAGCCTGAGCCCAGCACAGGCACAGACAGGCACAAGCACCAGCCGGCTACCAGGCCGTCTGCCAGTCGCCCGCCAGCCAGCTAGTGCTGTACTTTCTTGCTCGACCCGACCCGACTTCGCAAAACATCCACGACCGACCACCTTCACACTTCGACCGTCAATCAACTCTTGAACAGACACACCGCCCGTGTCCCATCCCCCACGACACGGCGGCCTCTCTGTTTCCAATCCTCGTGTGTTCGGAATGAGCTAGCCTTTCGGATGCACTCAGCTCCCTGACAGGACTGAGTTTGGTACAGGCGCCCGCCATACCATACCGCCTGTCGCACCGCCCTTCCCAACCCTCCTCCCTCCGACCCTTCTCGACGAAACCTTCCCACGCCCGCATGCTCTGCCTCCCCCCGTGCGGCACTCAATCCACATGGTCAAGGAGTATAGACCACCGGCTGGACCTAGACCAGCCAGCTTCTCGCCGACCAAACAGTACGTCCGTCCTTCATCCACAAGCCAAGGCCTATCCCTCCCCCCCCCTTTCAACCTCCGTGCCTGCATCGATGGCTGCCCCTTCCCGTGACCCTTGACTGACGCTTCCTCTTTCTTTGTGCTGCTCCAGTATCAGGGACCTTTCCAATCCGAACGGACCACAACCCTCCTTCCAAGAGCCACGCGTCGACGCCCCAATGCTGAGCACCTCGACGACCAACGGCCACCCATTGTTTGCGTTCGGTGGGGGGAATGGGCCTTCTGTTCAGGACGGCGGAGATACGACGGGCGCCTACGACTTTTTGCCCTCTGTGAGCTTCGACGATCTCCAGAGCAGCCTCGAGTCCGCGTCCACCGACTTCAAGCTGACCCAGTTCCCATCACCCACCGGCCAGGGCAGCATCCTCGAGTCGGGCACCATGACTGAAAAACCACCCACCGCTCTTCCCAGTGCCAGCACGCCCCGTGCCGCTGGGAACGCGCCCCCGGTCTCGCGCCCGGGGCGGTCCGGCTCCATACTCAGGCGGCCCAGCACGTCGACCCGGCAGACGAGCATTTCATCCACCATGTCGGCCTCGTCTGGTGGTGTTGGTGGTGGCGGTGGCGTGCTCGACGCACCGACGGCCCCCGCCGCCATGAGGAACCGCCGACAGAGCCACTATCCCCCCGTCTCTAACAGCAACATTGCGAAACCTCCCAGGAAATCGATCGGGCCCGGCATTCTGGACGGAGACTATGCCTCTCGGCCGGGCCAGAAGCGGCGGCCGAGTCTGATATCGAACGCCGGCAGCAGTGCCGACTCGACGCGCACCTCGATTGACGGAACAATGAACAGCGGCTTCGACACGACTCGTTCGTTTACGAACGTTCGCACCGCCAAGGCCAGGTCTATTGGACCGCCGCTGCCTCGAACAAACTCGGCAAGCCTGACCGCAGGAAACATTATGACACCGGAACAGAACCGTCTGTCGGCCGCCTTCTCGCCACGGTCGCCCCACGGCGCAGGCAGGGGAACCATGGCCCCCGGCTCCGCGCAGTCTGCGGCGAGCCAGAAGCGTGCCTCCATCATGCCCGGCATGCCTCACTCCTCCCATGCTACCGGCCTCGGCGCCCGGACCATTAGTCCTACCGATACCCGGCGAATGAAGCGTCTCTCGACGCATCAGCCTCAGAGCCTTAACCACATCGCCGATGCACCCCCTCCGCCGCCTCTGGAGCCGCGCGAGCACTCGAGGTCGCCCTCCATGATCCCCCGAAAGGCTTCGGCCACTCCGTCATCGTCGCGAACGACGCCCGATATCAATAGAAAGTCGTACAGCTCCGGCCTGTCGATTGGTTCATCAACAGCTTCAACACTGTCAGGACGTCGACTGGCTCGATTCAGCCACGCATCCCACAGTCGGGTCTACGTCACGCCTGCCAGCACCCAAGTCATTGGCGTCTCACTCTCACGGCAACAACGCCGGCGAGGATGCCGAAGACGTGCCCCCGGTTCCCGCCATCCCGAAAGCGTACGAGTCCCCTAAGGAATCAGCGGTCGACATGTCCTTCATGGACAAGAGGAGGGCCAATCTGGCCGCCGATGCCAGCAGCATTCATAGCACTCTACCGCAGCTTCTCTATCCCCCCTGCGCTGGAGCCATCACAGTAGGACGGAAGACGGCTGCCATGCCCGTCGAGGGGACAAAAAGGCGAACCCCCCCGTCACCAAGAGGAATCCGCCGGGCATGCGCCTTCCGCCCATCACGGTCGGGCCTCTCAACCCTTCCACTGCCGCCAAAGTAGCGGCTCTGCAGGCAGGGCATTCTGACAGGAATCTGAGTCCTCCCCCCTCGCGCATCCTCGCCAAGACGCCATCGACGCCCATGACGGCCTCGAAGAGCAGCTTCTTCTCTCGCAACCACAATGACGAGAAGATTGATCTCCCGAACCTTCGCAGCAGTAGCACGGTGAATCACAATCGACTCGACAGTGCGTCCGGTGTGGACGGAGGAAGCTCGTCCGACTCTCTGATGGGCATGACCAAGAAGACGCGTCGCAAGCCTAGCATGTCGCCGTTCTTGTCATCCTCTGTGCCCAAGAACGATCCCGACGCTGCGTTCATCAAGAGGCCAAAGACGGGTGATATCGGCAACCTCACTGAACCCATTCCTGAGGCGAGCCCCCAGCGCAAACCTTCGGGCCCACGCCCGCAAAAGCCAGTCAAGGCCAAACCCAAGTCACCCGTACCGAATTCCGACCCCGAAGAACCTCCCACACCTTCCTCCATGAGCTCGCTCCGCCGGAAACTCAGTCTATCATGGAAGCGAAGTGCCTCCAAGAACGGCACCGCCCAACCTGCAGCTACGACGGCCAAGCCGACAGAGCCAAGCGTGCGACAAGACAGCATGCCCCCGCCGCGGATCCCCATCTCTGCCACTGTCGGCAACCTCGGCAGCATCGCCAACCCGTCGAGCCCCCACGTCGGAACCCCCAAGTCCACTGGCACCTACCTCGAAAGCCGGCGTCGGAAGAGCTCAGCGTCTAGCTTGCAAACTTTCGGGCACGATCGGACCAAGAGCGACAACTGGGCCCCGAATGGCACGAGCACCCCTAGGAAGGAAATGCCCGGCGACACGCCAAAAGAACGTACCCAACCAATGCCTCGCAATGCGTCGGTCATGCAGAAGATCCTCAGGCCCAAGGCTTCTGCCGCTACCATGCGGGCCAACGATCCATGGACCGCAGATCTCGACAAGGACGACTTGATCGCAGAGGAGGAAATCCGAAAGATGGGCTCGAGGAGGAAGGAAACTGAGATTGCCGCCAGGACGCTTGACGCGCTCAAGAAGCGCGCCACGCCCAAGGAGAGGGTCGGGCCTCATGAGGCCATCAGGATAGCCATGCTGAATCTCTATGAGCGGGGCGAGATTATTGACTACAGCGATGTGTACTTTTGCGGGACGCAGAACGCGCAGAAAGTGGTGGGCGACCTGCAGTCCGACAAGCCCAACTTTGGCTATGACGACGAACGGGGCGATTACACCATTGTCCCTGGCGACCACCTCGCATTCCGGTACGAGATCATTGACATCCTTGGCAAGGGAAGTTTCGGACAGGTCGTCAGGTGTATTGACCACAAGACGGGTGTTCTGGTGGCCGTCAAGATCATTCGCAACAAGAAGAGGTTCCATCAACAAGCTCTCGTCGAAGTTAATATCCTGCAAAAGCTTCGCGAATGGGTACGTTGCCTTTTTCTTTCTCGTCCTCCTGTTGAGATACAATAATCATGAAACTAACACACGCGTGAAGGACCCCAAAAACAAGCACAGCATGGTCAAATTTACCCACAGCTTCTACTTCCGAGGACACCTCTGCATCTCCACCGAGCTCTTGGACATGAACCTCTATGAGTTCATCAAGGTCAATGCCTTCCGCGGCTTCTCTCTCAAGATGATCCGGCGCTTCACCAAGCAGATGCTGAGCTCTCTTGTCATGCTGAAGCAGCACAAGGTCATCCACTGCGACTTGAAGCCCGAGAATATCCTGCTGCGTCACCCTCTCCACACGGAACTCAAGGTCATCGATTTCGGCTCCAGCTGTTTCGAAAACGAAAAGGTCTACACCTACATCCAGTCGCGCTTCTATCGATCCCCCGAGGTCATTCTCGGCATGACATACGGCATGCCCATCGACATGTGGAGCGTCGGCTGCATTCTGGCGGAGCTCTACACTGGTGTTCCCATCTTCCCCGGTGAGAACGAGCAAGAACAGCTGGCATGCATCATGGAAGTGTTTGGCCCACCAGAGAAGCACCTGATCGAGAAGAGCACCAGGAAGAAGTTGTTCTTTGACTCCATGGGCAAGCCTCGCCTCACGGTGTCCTCCAAGGGCCGAAGACGCCGTCCCTCGTCAAAGACGCTGCAACAAGCCATCAAGTGTGACGACGAACCGTTCCTTGACTTTTTGACAAGGTGTCTGCGGTGGGATCCTGACCGTCGCCTGAAACCTGAAGACGCCATCTATCACGAGTTTATCACTGGCAGAAAGGCTACCGCACCCGCCCCACGGATACCCGCGCGCGATGCCTCTCCGGCCAAGCGCCACAACACGGCATCGGCCCCTAGGCCGCTTCCCGAGCCTCCTGGACTCGGCATTAAAGGCGGACCGACGCTGCGGGCTCGTGAGGCCACTGGTGTCAGCCCGCACAAGCCCGTGTCAGGCCCTGTTCGCCGAACCTCAGGGGCTACAGGCGCTGTGCATGTGGCAGCTATCAAACGGACGAGCACCGGCACGGGCAGCATATCGACTGGCGCGAGCAACCTGCCGAGGGCGGCGGGGAGGAGTGTCAGCGCCAAGCAGGATCTCGCCTCCGCTGGAGCTGCTGCAGCTATGACGCGAAGATAGAGCATGGTTCTCGCATGGCTTGGCGTGGCTGAGGGGGGTTCCAGCACCGCTGGAACGACGCGAGCACACTCGAGACAGACTACGGCCACTCGAAAGAGCCAGCAGTAGACAAACAAGCGGTTCGCACTACCGCAACCATAATGAACACCATTGATTTTCCAAAGCAAGACGGATCGTACACCCACGCGCTCTCACGAATTACCCATAAACCACGATACACCACGATGCTGTCGCCGCTCTAAACGGAGGAGAGGGGCAGTGGCCGAGGGACAGGGGTCCTCCTGTAAGGGAAGGGAACGATGGCCCCCTGCCCCTTTTGACTGTTTTTTTTTCCTCTCTCGCCGTTGATGATGAGCGTGGCGAACGGCATGCATGGCCGAGGCACACTACTGTTGCCTGCCTACTGAGGGCTCGTTGTCTTTCTTCATGCTTCTCTACAATACCATTTTCTTTTCTCCTTCTGCATCGGTTGGGGCCTATATATATGTGGGTTTGTCTCGGACGTTGGATGTGTGTGCCTGGCCCTTTTCTCGGAAGGCGGTGCAGCATACCATCTGGCCGTCTGACGGATGGTCGCTGGGGAAGCTTCAGGATTGGAAGGACTCTGCCGTTGCTATAGAGGAGAATAGGAGAGGGGCTTTGTGTATACCATTATCTAATGTGACGATGAGGTTCATTGATGCTATTTTCTCCCAAGACAAAGACTGCAAACATGGGAACGGATGCGGCGTTTCGCTGCAGGGGCTCTGCTGCCGTGCGTGCTCATCTTGGACGAAGCTGCGGTAGCTATACT